GCATTCCTGGAACACCCTTCGGCCCCTCTCCTCTTTTAACAACTACTTTGCCCTGGAAAACAGAAGAAGAACATCAGTAATCAGAAGATTCCCAAATACATTTGAAACTTAGAGAAAGCCAACTTAAATCAGAATTTGAGACCTTAAAGTTCATAGGATTTTCAGAAATAGCTGCAATCATGGATTCCTCGCCTTCGAAAACAAGAGCAGGACCGGAAAAATATAATCCTTCTTTGCCAGTAATTTTAGCAACAGATCCCTCTGGAGCAAGATTCCCATACAGTATTTGAATATGCCCACTTGCTTTGATGGGGTTCCCAACGGGACGTATTATTTGCTTAAAACCAAAAACATAAAGCAAGATTTACATATATAACACTCCATTCTTTCGTGCTTACATATCTAACACCTAAACTTTAATTTTTTTACATACATGCCACATTGCCTACGCACGAAAAGATGTATTTAAATTTTTATGCAAAATGAAGAATTTGGGTGATATTAATGTAAAAAAGTAAAATTTAGGTGTTATATACATGTAAAAACTATGATTTCAAAAGAAGAACATTAGCAAAAACAATATAAAGAGCCAACAAAATACCTGCCCTTCAGCTAAAGAGGGAACAAACTTCATGTTTTCTTCAAGAGTCTTCCCCGTGACTGCGATAAAGGCACTTTATTATGATGTAATATTAAAATGATAAGCACATATTTCAAAAATATCATTGCACGTACCAGTAATACAATCTCCATCCAAAAATCCTTCTTCTAAGAGGTAACGAATCACCGCAGGTGTTCCCCCGATCTGAAAGAATGATGTCAGGTTACAGCTTCCATGTAAAAAAAAAAAAGAAAATTTACATACCCAACACACAATTCCTAAAAATTTACATATCCCACACCTATAATTTCACATTTACATAGACAGCATTTTGGTGCCTTAAACCCATGCATGAAAGGGTGTATTTCACAACGTTTGGGTTTTTACACTAAACGCAGACCGCGGGTCTACCCCTGCGGCAGGCCCGCGGGGCCCGGTTTGGGGCAGCTTGTGCGTTTCAGGATAAGCTTCTTATCCTGAAACGCACATTTCAGGATAAGAAGCTTATCCTGAAACGCACAAGCTGCCCCAAACGGACCCTTAAACCCATGCATGAAAAGGTGTATTTCACTTTTAAAAAATGATAATATTGCTATTTTTTATATGATATTAAATATTTGAGTGCTATGTGTATAGGTATGTAAGTTTATTTATGAGATATATAAATAAAAATCGTGTGCTATTTTACGTAAATCCGCAAAAAAAACAATTCTCCATTGACAAAAAATTCATATTTGAAAATGAATAAACAAAATCATAGAAAAGTAAGATAAGGAAACATTTCAGCTACCTTGTGCAAGTCTTCCATTACATATTTACTACTAGGCTTGAGATCAGCAAGGAAAGGAACTGCATCACTGACCTTCTGAAAATCATCAAGAGTCAAATGCAAACCTACAGACCTACAAAAGAAACAATGAAAATGTAGTTGGATATATGATCTGCCATATATTCAAAAGCAAAAAAGACACCCACCTAGCAATAGCAATCAAATGTAACACCGCATTTGTCGACCCACCAAGAGCCATGACTACAACCATTGCATTACGTAGTGATTTTTCGGTTATGATGTCTCTAGGCTTTAAGTCCATCTCTAACAAATTAAACATATATTTTCCTGCTACACGACACTCGTCTAACTTCAAGGGATCCTCAGCAGGCGTCGATGAGCTTATATGAATGTCAGAAAAAAAAATTCAAAATTTTATTAGAAGAAACGGAAATTTACATACCTAAGCACACAAATCTTATGTATTTACATATCTTACGCTTGAACTTCATATTTAGATAGATAGCACTTTGGTGCTTTATGCATGAAAAATGTATTTCAGTTTTAAAAAATGGTGATAGTGCTTTTGATGTGATATTAAAGTTCAGTGCTATGTATGTAAACATGAAATTTTAGCTGCGAGATAAGTAAATATATTCGAATTGTGTGCTATGTGTGTAAATGTTCCTGAGAGGAAATATGAAGTTAAACATTGGAATACACATATTTAGGAAGGAGCAGTACCTGTAGGGGAGTGTCATGCCCATTGTTTCGATAGCGGAAGCCATGGTATTTGCAGTATACATGCCACCACAAGCCCCAGCTCCAGGGCATGAATTACGCAAAACAGTCATTCTATCGTCATCGGTGATCAAACCACTGACATATTCGCCATAGCACTAGAAACAATCTCAACAAAAGGCAAAAGAACACGTCACATGGAATGAGTTTTCGACATTAGGAAAAATATAAGTAAAACTGAAACAAAATAAGCGCTTTTAGTTGAAACAATTTCCTAATGACTTCGAGATGAAATAAAAGCAAGTTGAACATAACTAAGACGATATATAATGAAAGGTTATTTGGAAAATTATTATGTAACCATAATGAAATAGCTATCAGCACCTGAAAACCATGGATCGATGTTACATAAAGTTTGTTAACTGGAAAATCAGATGGTAAAAATTAATGAGGCGATCTGAAATATGCGAGTTTGATGCATGCAGTACATATAGTACCTTAGGTGGCACAAAATGTCATAAAAGCAATGTCAACGACAATGAAACTAACAATGTATTCTGTAAGCTAATCCATTGCTAAGGATATTCAGGGTCGCTCGAAGGGAATTTATTGCTGAAATGTTTCCGTGCTATGTTGAGAGCGCAAATATCAGTAAAAGCCCTTATTTGATATGTTCTCTTCCTATTGTCTCTTCGTTTCCTTTGAGTCACTCTACTGATGCCAAATTCATTCATTTAACCAATAAACTTGATATTCTATAAATGGAAAGAAAAGAATGTACTATGTCAAAGTATGATCAAGTTATTAAAAATATGAAAAATTAATTATTGATTGTATTAAAAGTACTTGTGATCTAATAGTTTCTATTACATTAAGCATAAACCTTGAGCATATATTATTTGTATTGATTATAAAGATACTTTTGAAGAAAATTCAAATTAAGGTGCCATGGCGCTTTTTTTTTGTTTTAGGAATGAAATTGTTCTAATGAAAAACATCTATTGAAACAAGTGGAAAGTTTAAGAAAATAAAACTTTCAAAAAGAAAAGAACTTGGAATTAGCAGACTTAAAACTTATACGATATTAATTTTAATTGCTATAATATTAAAAATTATTAATCAATATATTTAAAAGTTAAAGTGATACTTATGTTTGACAAATTTAAATATCTTAAAGCTCTTATGCATAAGAAAAGAATATTAATAAGAATATAACTTCTAAAATTAAGGCTAAATCATTAAAATGAACAATTGCCTCCAAGGCATTATACAACAAAAGAATTGCACTTAGATTTGAAGGCAAATGTTATAAAATAACAATTAGGCTGACAAATTTTTATGAGATTGAATGTTAGGCAGTAACAAAACTTTAGCAAAGTTGAACATAACAATAAATAAAGAAAAAATAATGGAATGTAGCGAAGCTATGACTGAAAAAAGATTATATCAAATAGGCAGAGAGAATATCAACAACCGAAGACATGGAAGTGGCATATATATAAAGAGTAACAAATGCATTAATAAGACGGGGACATAAAATTAAAATAAAATTATTGGAACATTGAAACAATGATTATGATTCATAAAATAAAAAGTTACATTCATTAAAACATTGATTATGATTCAAACTTGATAATATAACTATGAGACACCTTCGAACAAGAGTTAAAAACTCACGTCATGTTCAACATCAGCTATACCTCATAAGAAAATAAATAAATGAGCTTAAACACCATGATACTTGACTAGATTCGGTTCATTTACATCCTTAAAATATCTGAGATACTAACATATTATAGCAAAACCAAGTGAAATGGTTGAAATTCTTTAATGGTTATATGATGGGGTGAAACGAAGTAGAAGACCAACATCATAGTGCAGTACAATCCATCCAAATATTTCCAGGGATGAAAGTTATTCCTGAACAAGCATTAGTAATAGATCAAAAGAGGAAGAGCAGAAAATCATAATAACACACAAAATAAGGTGATTTAATATCGGTTATAATGAAACAAATATAATTCATCTTCATAAAACCACAAAAAATAAAAAATTAATGAAAATAGAAAATAGTTTAATGTGACAATAAATGTACTGCATACCTGAAATGCAGATACTATATCAAATGTTTTTCCATTGTAATGACCAGGCTGCATAACATCAAAACAAGATCCTAAGTAACAAAATAGTTAGGATCTTTCTAGCCATGAAATGTACAAAGGTGTACACATTTGAGAAACTCTAATTATTAAAGTTCTATTTTCATCCCACCAATAGTTTAGTAGTACTTTTACATGCACAAGTCATCACCAAATAAATTGTGTCTAAAGAAATAAACAAAATCAGGTTTGATCATCCATAAGATTTTTTAAATATAAATTCAATCTGACCTTTATCGTTCCACCATATATCATGAGACTAGGTCGATTGAGCCGTCCCATTGCCATAATTGTACCAGACATCTAAAAAATAAATGTCACATCAGTCTAGATAGTAGGAGATTTGCGTAAAGGTTAAAAACATCAAAAGCAATCAATTTCTATCTTAATAAATTTTTACACCATATGTTGCTACAAATAAGCTTCACATTGCTCATATGCACACTTGCGGAGAATGAAAGAATTTATTATTTTCCCTGCATAATGTGTTGAAGCAATATAAGTGATACACTTCGGCAACAAAATAAGCAAACAAACCACAATGAAATCGCAATATATAGATGGAAAAAATACAAAGAAGGGCTACCCTTACAACAATCAAAGGAAAACAAGCAAGATACAAGGTTGATCTACTATTTTAGAGGTAGAACTTCTCTCCCAAACTCTGGACGTCACTAGGAACACCACAAGAAGAAAGAGAACAACAGCCACAACAAAACATGCATAAGAAAAAAAACAATCGTAGGTTCTACCCTTAATAGGAATCCCTTTCCAGCATTTCAAAAACTTTCCTTCCTAACTTTCCCTTCAAACTCCCTTAATTTCTCCTCCTTGAATAGATAATTATGGCCCTAATAGACCCCACCATCCCTTCCCTTCTTCTACGGCTCTCCATGTTCTCCCAACTCCTGTCCGTCACCAAGACTGGCCCGTCAGTGGGCCGGTTATGCTATCTTCAGCCAGTCCAGAGAGGACCGACTCACCTTTAGCCGGTCCAGAGAGGATTGACTCCTCTATAGGCATAACATTACTTCACTCTCAAAAAGATACATTGTCCTCAAGGTGGAAGGATGGAAACTGCTTGTGGGTCACCTCGCAAGGCTCCCATGTTGCTTCATAGTCTGGTAGCCCCTTCCATTTGAACAATAACTCCTTTGCTCCCTCTACTCCTCAACGCACTCCTTCGATCTCTAATGGCTCCAAAATCACCTCCAAGTTTAAGTCTTTTGTCAACGTCGGCAGTAGTGTAGATGAGAGTTTAAGATCTCCAATCACGCGCCTCAGCTGTGACACATGGAAGGTCGGGTGTAGTGCAAATGATGGTGGTAACTTCAAACGATAAACCACTACCCCGATGCATGTCATCACCTCATATGGCCCTTAATATCGTAAGTGAAAGTTTCTCGTTCTTCCGTCTAGCCAATGATTTCTGTCGATAGGGCCTCAACTTCAAATAGGTCATGTCCCTTGGTTCAAACTGCACCTCTCTCATGTGCTCTTTGTTTTCCTCTTCATGATTTGTTGAGCTCTCAATAAATGCCCCTTGAGCTCTGCTAATATCTTGTCCCTCTCCTCCAAGTACTGATCGACGTTAGGTACCAATGTGGCGCCATGCCCATAATATACCAAGTGAGATGGATCCCGCAAATAAAATATCTTGAAAAGGGTGTCCTGTGATGCGGTGTGGTATGTATTATACTAATATTCAGCCTATGCAATCGACTTGGCTCATTCTTTCGACGTATCAGAAACAAAACAATGTAGGTATGTCTCCACACTCATGTTGACCACCTCCATATGTTCATCGGCCTAGGGGTGATATGCAATGCTCCTCTTGAGAACTGTCCCTTGCAACCTCAACAATTCTTTCCAGATGTGGCTGAGGAATACCTTGTCACTATCCAAAACAATCGATTCCAGTACTCCGTGCAAACGGAAAACTTTCTTGATAAACATCACCGCAACTTAGACAGTTGTTTAGGAATGTCGCAATGAAATGAAATGTGCATGCCAACATATTCTCAACGTCTCTATACATCTCAACCAAATAAAGTCGCTAGACGATTGTAGGTCTTCTGCACCCGTAAGTGTCCCCAAGATGTCCTCTGATCGCACTGCCATGAAACTCTGTACGACTGTAGATCAGAATATCAACAAAAAAAACCCGAACAAATTTCTGGAGATAAGGTTGAAAAATCCTATTCATGAGGGATTAAAATGTCGTCGGGGCATTGGTGAGGCCAAACAACATCACTAAGAACGGGATTAAAATGTCGTCGGGCCATTGGTGAGGCCAAACAACATCACTAAGAACTCGTAATGTTCTTCATGTGTCCTGAATGTTGTCTTGTGCACATTCGTTAGCTTCATCCTCATCTGGTGGTACCCTAACAAAAGATCAATTTTTGAGAAAATGACTGTCCAATATAGCTCATCTAGCAACTCATCAAACACAGGAATAGGAAACTTGTCCGACACTATTCCCTTGTTCAAAACCTAGTAGTCCACGCAGAATCTCTAACTACCATCTTTTTTTTTTCACCAACAGGATACGACTGGAAAAAGAGCTCATATTAGGCCTGATAATCCCAATCAAGAGCATCTCCCAATTGATCTTCTTTATCTCATTTTTTTTTGAATTTGCGGGTACACGTATGGTCTAATGTCGGTGGGAGAAACACCTTCTTTATTTAATAACCTGCTTGTGCTCCCTCTGAGTTGGTAACCCGCTTGGCTACTGAAAAACATCATTATGCTATTGTAGGGGCTGTTGGATCCCTTCCAGAAACTTTGTCAACTCTGAATCTCAAACCTCCTCAATGCTCACCAACTCCACCAAGTAACCCAGTTTTGCTCCCCGAATCGACTTGATCATGGTTTTGAGCGACATCATGACTTTGCATAAGCTAGTATCTCCTCTCAACACCACATTCCTACCTTCCACTTGGAACTCCATCATCAAGGACTTCCAATCCACATTCATCTCTTCCAATATTCGCAGCAACTTCATCCCCAAAATCACATATGTGCTGCCCAAATCTAAAGGAAGTCTCCCAACAGTTGTAGGTTATGTAGTGTTAGAACCAACCCCTTGCAAATTCCTCGACTTTTTTCTAGCTTCTCTGTCCCATCATGACGCCAAAACTCCCTGTAGTCATCAGCTTCAACCCAAGCTTCTCTACAACCTGATTTGAGATAAAGTGATGTGTGACCCCGATATCCACTAACACCACAATCAGTTGTTCCCCGATCCATCCCCGCACCTTCATAGTGTGATTCAACGTAAATCCCACATCTAAATGTAGATGTTCCTCCTCCGTTGCTTCCACTTTTGATTCCTAACTCTCTGTATGCTCCTCCTAAACTAAAAGAACCTAAAGGGCATGATCCTTGCAATGGTGTCTTGGAACGTATTTCTCGTCACAACAGTAACACAATCTTTGGGCTCTTCTTTTTCCAACACTTCTGCATATTTGAGGCGCTTAAAATTACCTGGATCAGAGCCTTGTATTTTTCTCCTTCGGTGTCTCTTTTTGAAATGATACCGTCTGGGTTCTCAGTGTCGTGACTGTCACGGTGTTCTCGTAGAATCCCCCGGTGTTGCCGCCTTTGTCGGTCTTCTTCACTTATTTCTTATCCTCCATCATCTGGGCCAACTCTATCATTTCTCTAAATCCAAGCGGTCATGTCGGGCTTTAGGCCTTTCAAAAAGTTCTCTTCCAATCCTGCTGCAGAAATCCCCCTCAACCTCCCTGATAAGAGCTCGAACTTCTCTCGGTCTAGCATAAACATCACCTCCTAAGTCAAAGCATATAATTGCTCATGTAAATCTACTTCCCGAATGGCTAGAAAACAATCCAACAAACAATCCTTAAACTCCTCTAATGAGTGTATTGGATACGTTGCCTCCATCCACTGAAACCACGCTAAAGCCTTCTCCTCCAAGCATAATCTTGTTACCTCTTCCTCGGTCAACCTGTTGATCGCAAAGTATACTTTCACCCAATACACCCAGCCATATGCATCCCCCCTTCGAAGGTTGGCATCTTCAATTTACTAACCCTTGCATCTCCTCCCCAACATCCTCTTCCTCTGGTATTTCCCCCAATGTGTTTAGGGTGGAACTCCCTCCTTCTGTCATAGACATATCCCACTCATGAATCCCTCCTTCCTCCATTGTGCTCTTCCGTGCCCCTTGCACCATCACTCCAATTTTTGGTTCATCCCCCTCCGTCAGAAGTCTCCACTCTCCAACTCCCCCCCCCCCCCCCCCCGGGGCGCTAGGGGCTTGTAGGCAGATAAGGCCTTCTTCGTTGTCTTCTCGCTCGATCTCCTTCCCTTTTGTCCTAGCCAAGGATTCTCTGATCAACCCTTGATTAGAATTGGCAACTTGAGTGATCGTCATGGCCTTGGCCTGCATCTCTATAAGTTTTTTCGTCATCTCATGCATTTCTCATATGATTTTAAATTCATCCTCCATTCGACTTTCAAAGAAAGAAAACCTGTCCTCCATGTTAGCAAACCACTCTTCCATTCCTGATTAAATTTGTCATACATCGCCTTCTAGCACGTCAACTTTCTTCGTTGTCATCCCATCAATATTTATGCTCTAATACCAATCTGATACGCCTCAACACCAAAATCAGCGAACAAACCACAACGAAATCGCAATAGATAGGTGGAAAAAAATAAATAAGGGCTGCTCTTACAAAAATCAAAAGAAAACAAATAAAAAACAAGGTTAATCTACTATTAGAGATGTATATTGTCTCTCCCAAACCCTAGACGTTGCTAGGAATACCACAAGATGAAAGAAAACTGCAACCATAACAAAACATGCATTAAAAAAAAAACAAACCGTAGGTTCTTCCCTTAATAGAATCCATTCCCAGAATTTCAAAAACTTTCCTTCCTAACATTCCCACCAAACTCCCTTAATTTCTCCTCCTTGCATAGGCGATTATGGCCCTAATGAACCGGACCCCTCCCTTTCCTTCTTCTGCGGCACTCCCTGTTCGCCCCACTCCTGTCTGTCGCCAAAACCGGCATGCTTGTGGGCCGGTTATGATATCTTCTGCCGGTCCAAGGAGGGCTAGCTCACCTTCAGCAGGTCCAAGGAGGATTGGCTCTCTATAAGCGTAACAATAAGCTGGTTCATCTCCACAATGGATTTGAGGATTATACATGCACTAAGGGCTAGTGGCCCCTTTTCTGATCAAAGTATCCTCAAGTGATAGGATCTCACCTTTGGAGCCAAGTTCAAGCATTGCATTAGATAACAATTAGTCAAAATGGAGTTAATTAAATTAATTAACAATCGATTAATTATCCGTGTTATAATTTTTTAAACTAGTAGTCCATGTCAAATAAAAAAAAAATTAATCTTATAAAGTTGGCAGTAGTATGGCAAAATATAGACGCTCATATAAAGTAAGATAACAATATATCAATTGATTAACAAAAAATCAGATTAGCCATGCTTCCATGAAAGCCAGCAAAGCTCAATTAACATTAAGATTTGAACCGACATAATTAACTCAGGCAAAACAAACACACAAAATCAAATCAATGAAACTCACCTCTTTAACTCTTTCAAACATTCACGTCAAAACAAGATAGTGCGGTGCAAATTAAAAAAAGGGATAATTATACACAGAACACCCGAAATATTGATATTAATAAATCAAACAGCCGGGTGATTATTTGAACTATAGAACTGATGCATTCATGAGAGCGGGTTGGGGTTTTATCATGAATTTTGAAATTTGAGTAAGAATTTGAAAATTAGATGAAAAGCATAGGTTGGGTTTTATCATCAATTTCATTTATTCAAATGAAATAAATGCTAGAAAGCAAAATGAACGCAGTCAGCTAAAGCATAAAGCTTGCATTTTTACCATCCAACGCCAATCAACAAAATCATTTTAACTTGAACAATTCAAATCCGCAACCCAATTTCAAGGATAAACAGACAGACATAATCAAAGATGCAAAAATCTCACATTTTTATCACACCCCGGAATCGAAATATTGGCATCATACCACTGCGCCGCCATGACGCTCTCAATGCTGTCCGCAATCAGATCCCTCGACTGCAAACTATAGCACATTCCTCTTGTTCCCATTGATATAGCATCACTTACACCAATAGTATTGAATCGAAACGGGAACATTCCCGCCTCTCTCACCCCGTCCTTAACCGCCGCAGCAAGCTGCATCAGATGCATGTTGCAGGTGTTTCCCTCGTACCAAACTGAGGAGATCCCCACCTGCGGCTTCTTCATATCGTTGTCGGAGAGCCCAACGCCATAGAGCACGGCCTGAGATCCGCCCTGGGATTTGGGCTCGGTGATGCGGGAGCTGTAGCGGTTTAGCTTGGGTAAGAGATCTGACTTAGGCGGCGGCTGAGGTGTTTCGATCTCTTGGGTGCGAGCGCGGATGAGGAGAGGACGGCGAGGAAGAGTGTAGGGGGATCGGGTGGTGGAGATAAAGGGGGCCGTTAATGTTAAAGATAGCATTTTGGAGGAGGAGAAGGTGGCGGAGGTGGAGCTGCGAGACGGGGAGCAGATGGAAGGAGGGTTTAGGGTTTTTGGAGGGAAGAAAGGATGAAGAGGAAGCCGTCGATGGTCAACAAAGACGGCGAGAGCTGACGAGGACCAAAGATACGGGCATGGAGTGGCAGCTATTCTTTCATCATTATTACGATTATATTTATAGTTACACGAGCTAATTCAAATTTAACAAAAGAATCCATTTTTATGAAAAAAAAAAGAAAAAATAGTTAATTTTTAAATATTAGGATTTTTACATATCAATCATCCAAACTTTTAAACAGGGGTGTAAACGAGCCGAACACGATTTCGAGCTCAAAAAATTTGTTCTTGTTCGGCTCGTTTGCTTAACGAGCCGAACACGAGTTGTTTCTGAACAAAGACTCCTTTTACTAAATTTTTTTTTTAACGTCCTTCCGAAGCGAGCAACGGGATTACAATTCCGATGACCGACAGCTTCTTACGGGCAAAACCCACACAAAAAATAGTGCCGACAACTACTTAATATATACTTTATATATATATATATAAACTTGATTAGTAGTATTTCGAGCCAAAACGACCCGAACACATCTTAGTTTGTGTTCGGCTCGTTAACTTATCGAACAAAATTAATGAACCGAACACGAGCATCTTAACTAGTCGAACACGAGTTGTTCGCGAACAACGAGTCATTTTGACAGCCCTACTTTTAAATATAATGGATTCACCACAACTACTTAAATTTTTTTATTTCAACCACCCAAAAAACACCTAAAGCTTTAAATATAATTGATTGAACACTCGTATTTCAAAATGAAATAAATTTTTCTATGGTTAAAATGTGAATTTTAAGTTTAGGTGGTCATAACATTATATTTAAAATTTTGGAAGGTTGGTGTATAAAAATTTCTTTAAAAATTTTATTTTGTTCTATTGAGACAAGTGAATAGAAAGCTATGTTTTAGAAAACAATTTTTATGCATGAATGATTTTAATAATTTTAAGTTATAAGCATCAAAACACTTGATATAATAGTAGTATTTATAACTTATTTTGATCAACTAAATTATTAATGAAAAAATGTTTTTTTAAAATACTATTAAATTAATCGGAAGCACGCATACAACGTATAATTTGAATTTAAACAAGTGATCGGAGAAAGATGAACACTCCAAAAAGTAATTTAGTAAAAGGAAGTCTATCAATTCAAGGAAGAAAACTCAAAAACACAAAGTATTATGTTTAAATGATGGTAGAGAAGCAAACAAGTGGTTAAAAAGTCGAAGAAAGGAGAGTTAAGAAATTAGATAATGGCAAAAATTTCATGCACCACCGCACTATCCTAAATCTAAGCATGGTGTGGTTAGTCAAGACCTACTAAACATAATTCGACACATCTCATAACCCTTAAAATCGAAACAACAAAAAAAAAGGTCCAAAGTACATCAAGATATATTTACCCGAACAACATAAGAGACCCTACGTGCGATAAAATAAAATCCATTATAAAAACTACAACCATAATGCATAGATACACCACATATATATACGTTATGTAGGTGACAACATTGTTGATGGCCTCAACGTCCTGCATTAAGCGAATGCTAAACTTAATGGATAGTGCCACATTAACACTACAAGTAACATTTAAAAGCTTTAGTAATAATGCTTAAAAAACTTCATGAAAAACCATTCATATACTATATGATATGTATAATATTGGGACATATTACGTAGAAGGATAAAATACATATCGCATTACTCCGTGCAGGTTCGTCATAGAAAGACAGAGCACTATCCCATGCATTTCAATGATATTTAAGAAACCATTAAAATAATTTCAAATGTATAACAGACCAAAATTAAGTGTATTTTTCAAATGAGCCTATCAATGGGTGCTAAATATCTCATGTAAAGCATGCAAACAATAAGGTGATTCAACAAAAACACGCCTAAAATAGAGCATCAATAAGAATGTTAGGTTAACAATAATGCATTTAGAAAATAATTGGTCAAAACCTACAAAAGCATGTGCCAACAATAATGCATATATAAAAGAAAGAATGCAACCAAGTTTAGATTGCACACCTCAAATGTAGAAAAAATCAAATACAACATCCATCACTGTTTTATCCCTCTTAATATCAATGAATCATTTATCAATAATTTATGTCAAGCATAGCAATCAAGGTAGAAAAATGAATCTTTTAAGCCTCTATTAGCATCATATTAATCTTAAATTTCTAGTTTTTTTTTACATTAAGCTTATCCTCGCTAGGAATCACTTCCAAAATTGGTTGTCACTATTATACCAAAATACATTTCTATTAACATTATTGTAACATTATGTTTAGGCTGATTACAGTAATAAACAAATAATGGTTTAAGCTCAATACTCCAAAACACATTCTAGAAATAAATTCATAAACAAATAAAAGCTTTAATATATATGCCAACACTCCAAAATACTTTTTGATGCAAGACGATGCACCTTGGGTACCCAATAAGCATCAACATATGTCATGGCCTCCATAGAAAGAGGAAGGGATCAAAATGACTATAAAGGGTATATTAACAAAATGCTATTTGGTTCTCAAATGACTATAATGCTTTTGAGCTTGATTTTCAAAACATGTGACCACACATGAGGCAAATTTCAAAGCACAAGGCCACTCAAAGTCACAAAATGTTTCAATATATGTAACTCATTAAAAAATGAGCATAAATATTTTAAAATTATATTATGTCTAAATGTCGATCCAACTGATCAAGCAATATAGCTAAGAGCATAAATTTGACTTACAAGAAATCCAAGCCAGTTAATGTAGCACATCATATGGATCAAGAAAATAAAGTCAAAGAAGTTATTACAACAACGCAAGCAAAATCGCAAGCAAGTGTCTAATCTAATGGCCATCAGAAGAGCTCAATAAATAATAATAATAATAACAATAATTTATAATTTAATGTCTAAAATGTTTGAATTTTTAAATTTAGAGGCCTGTATGGGATGTTAAAAAAAAATAATAATAAATTAGGAATGTGGTTATCACATTTATCCATCAATGACCATCTATTAATCTCTTCAAATTATCCTCTCCTTTTTTGTTTTAAATTTATTATCATTGTGATTCCTATAAATATGGTTGATATGAACTTTTTTCAACTTATTGAATGAAATATTTAAATGAGAATTTGTTGATATGTAATGAATTTTAAAAAGGGTGAACATTTTAGATATCTCAGGTATATTGTTCAAAGCGACAGTGACATAGATGAGGATGTTATTAGTATAATTCAAATTGGTTGATTGAAGTGGAGGAGTGCATCAGGCCTATTGTATGATAGGAAAGTACCACTTATACTTAAAAGAAAATTTTATAAGATTGTGGTGAGAACTACAATGCTCTATGACCCAAAATGTTGGCCTTTAGAAAAGAATCATAAAACAAAGTTAAGCACAGCTGAGATGAGAATGCTTACGCGGATGAGTGGCTTGACATATAGAGGCAAAATGCGAATTGAATATATTTGTGATGGGGTTGTTGTAGCTGCAGCGGTGGACAAGTTTAGAGAATTGTCTTAGAGGGTTTGGTCATATTAAACTTCGACCATTTGATAATCCAATTAGGAGATTAGATATTTGAGATTCAACTTAGGTTAAAAGAGAAAAAAAAAATATACCTAAAAAGACTTGGGCATATTGTATAAAAATGATCTTAATCTATTAGAACTAAATGAAAATAGGACACTCAATAGTATGCAAGGAAAAAAAAAAGATTCATGTAGCCGACCTCACTTAGTGGGATAAAGGCTTTGTTGTTTTTGTTGTTGTTGTTGTTTGGTGCTTCGAGTGTTACAAAATATTCATTTTATTTATGGAGAATCCACATATATAGTACAAAAAAATTATTTTATTTATATATCTAACACCTAAAATTTACTTAATGTTAAACTTATCATGTTATTAATACTTTTGTTCCAAACTAAAATCCCATAATTCCATATGGTAAAGAATTGGTGTAGAAGACCTTATGGAATCTTCCTAGTGATGTGACTACCGACTTGTGGAAGATGTAGGGTCTGTTTGGGGCAGCTTATATGTGCGGGCGGCGTTTTCAAAACGCCGTCGTACCGCTTGGTTCGCACGTTTCGTCAGCTTATCTGAAACTGCGTTTGAGTTCTTACACTAAACGCAGACCGTTGGTCGACCCCTGCAGCCGGCCCGCGGGGTGCGTTTCAGGATAAGCAGTTTATCCTGAAACGCGGCACAAGAAGCCCCAAACGGACCCGTAATGCTTTAGGGTTTAGCTTTTCATTTTTATTTTTGTTTTTTTTTTTTATTTTTTAGAGGATTTTGGGCTCAGCCCTTTAAAGTGTTATTATTATTATTATTTCATAATATAAGTGTTATGGGAGCAAATAATTAAATTTTGATATTATATATATTAAATAAATAATTTTATTGGTTATGCATGTTTTTTTTTTGAGACAGAGAAGCATATAGAAAATGTTTTTTTTTTTTATGTTATTTACAAGAAAATAAGTTTTTTACTTATATAATTTTATTTTTTATTTTCTCTTAAAAAATATTTGCCCTCCTACATTTTCTTCTTATTTTTCAGCACAGAAGAACATTTATAAAATATATTTTTTTATTCATTTTTATTTCATAAATTTTATTAGCTACTAATCATGTTAGATTGAAATTAGAAACTCAACCTATTCACCATCACCAATAACCAGGTCGATGGAGGTCTGATTAAAACTTGTTAAATTTCATAAAAAATTCATCTAATTTTAATAAAATTTTATTAAGGGAGTGTTTGGGTGCATGATCAAATTTATGTTAATAGGATTTATCAAATCCAAATTTCGTTTAAGACTCGTAACGGAAGCGAAGGTCGGAGACGGAACGGCTATCAGGAAGACGAACGGGAGGTGCCGGAAATCCGAATTTCATTTTCGTTTATTAATAGGGCACAATTGGGATGAGATGGTAGTTTGATGATTCGACATTTCCTCCAATACTAAAAAGTCTCATGTATCAGGAAGAAATTTGCGTATGTAAGCCGTAAATAGCGTTGCGTACATAATGAAGGTTATATCGACGTTATATCGGCATTATATTCGCTTTATATCTCTTGTAACCTCTATGTAACATCTATATAACCTACCTGAACTTACAAATAAATTTTTCATTTTGTTTTCATATATATGTAGGTTACATTGAAGTTATATGGAGGTTACAGGAGATATAACGCGAATATAATATCGATGTAACGCCCATATAACTATCATTATGTATGCAGCACTGCTTATGTTTTGCGTACGTAAATTTTTTTCCATGTTTTAAGCTCACAGATCAAAATAATAATAATAATAATAATAATAAAACCCGGCGCCGTTTTTCGTACTAGCTCTCTTTCTTGCTCCGCCGCAATGGAGAGTAATGCTTTAGGGTTTAGCTTTGCATTTTTATTTTTGTTTTTTTTTTTTTAATTTTTTAAAGGATTTTGGGCTCAGCCCTTTAAAGTGTTATTATTATTATTATTTCATAATATAAGTGTTGTCGGAGCAAATAATTAAATTTTGATATTATATATATTAAATAAATAATTTTATTGGTTATGCATGTTTTTTTTTTTTTTTTTAATATAGAGAAGCATATAGAAAATGTTCTTTTTTATGTTATTTTTTTATTTTCTCTTAAAAAATATTTGCCCTCCTGCATTTTCTTTTTATTTTTCAGCACAGAAGAACATTTATAAAATATATATTTTTATTCATTTTTATTTCATAAATTTTATTAGCTACTAATCATGTTAGATTGAAATTAGAAACTCAACCTATTCACCATCACCAATAACCAGGTCGATGGAGGTCTGATTAAAACTTGTTAAATTTCATAAAAAATTCATCTAATTTTAATAAAATTTTATTAAGGGAGTGTTTGGGTGCATGATCAAATTTATGTTAATAGGATTTATCAAATCCAAATTTCGTTTAAGACTCGTAACGGAAGCGAAGGTCGGAGACGGAACGGCTATCAGGAAGACGAACGGGAGGTGCCGGAAATCCGAATTTCATTTTCGTTTATTAATAGGGCACAATTGGGATGAGATGGTAGTTTGATGATTCGACATTTCCTCCAATACTAAAAAGTCTCATGTATCAGGAAGAAATTTGCGTATGTAAGCCGTAAATAGCGTTGCGTACATAATGAAGGTTATATCGACGTTATATCGGCATTATATTCGCTTTATATCTCTTGTAACCTCTATGTAACATCTATATAACCTACCTGAACTTACAAATAAATTTTTCGTTTCTGTTTTCATATATATATAGGTTACATTGAAGTTATATGGAGGTTACAGGGGATATAACGCAAATATAATATCGATGTAACGCCCATATAACTTTTATTATGTACGCAACGCTGCTTATGTCTTGCGTACACAAATTTTTTTCCATGTTTTAAGCTCACAAATCAAAATAATAATAATAAAACCCGGCGCCGTTTTTTGTACTAGCTCTCTTTCTTGCTCCGCCGCAATGGAGAAGGGATTAAGGGCGTACATGGAGGTCCTCCGGCTAGTCCGCCGGCTTCCGGCGGAGACTAGGCCGTACTACGCAAAGTACGCGAGAGAGAATTTCGTCAACTACCGTAACCTCGACGACCCTTCGACTCTCCCCGATCTCCTTCGCCGGGCCTATAACCACTCCCTCTGGGTCCTCAACAAGGTTTAATTTCCGCTTGTCTGCGATTTCATTCTCTTTTCATGAATTTATTTGTGATTCTATTTTGTCTTCTTCGTGCTTGTAGTACTCTGTGGAAGAGTCGGTGGCTGACAGTCTGAAGAAGGTCTGTTCCTGCTAATGAAGTTTCATGCTCGGTAGGTGTTTGTTGATTTTCCCCACTGCGTTTTCTGATCAAATTGAACATCTAGAATGAAGCTGATGACATCAAAAGTGATTTGATTAGAGCCTAAACATGTTTAAATTTGAGATTTTATGTGTGGTTAGAAACTTTGGGATAATAATTGGAGTGTCAAACAATCTTTGAATCTTGAAGGGTTAAGATCAAATAGAGTATCTCTAAAAAAGAAATTTAATAAATTAAGATCATTCAATTTTGAGATTATTTAGAATTTCAATGTCGGATATTGTGAGACCATCACTCAATCATTATTGTTAGACCATTGACGTTAGATAATTGTCCGATCTATATAGTCGGATTGTATCGCCAACACCAGAACACCATTGTCAGTCGTCTATCGGCAGAGCCTCATAACTTGTGACAACCACTTTGATTTTGATGATAACAAATATATGATTCGATGTTCTAACATATTACCTGAGTTTTTCTTATAAATCGTCATATTCAGACAAATCAACATAAGCCAAACCATTCTCTAAATACTTTCCCAAGATTAATTTAGGTTTTACTAGTTTTACATGTCGTTAGAATATATCTTGTATGAATAAAAAATAAGCTTATAAATTAATTGTTTTGCAAGTCATTTTTGCTTTTTAAGTTTACTAAAAAAAAATTTATTTTCATGATTTTTTGCATGCAAGATTCAATTAATTTTTTACTTTCATTCTTCTGCATGATTAAATAAATTGCAACATTATGTTATTTTAAATCAAAGTCACGTTAGATAATTGTCCGATCTATATAGTCAAATTGTCGCTGCCTGATCGCCAACGCCAGAGCACCATTGTCAGTCGTCTATCAGCAGACCCTCATAAGCCTTATGAATCCTCACGAGTCTTGTGACAACCACTTTGATTTTGATGATAACAAATATATGATTCGATGTTCTAACATATTACCTGAGTTTTTCTTATAAATCGTCATATTCAGACAAATCAACATAAGCCAAACCATTCTCTAAATACTTTCCCAAGATTAATTTAGGTTTTACTAGTTTTACATGTCGTTAGAATATATCTTGTATGAATAAAAAATAAGCTTATAAATTAATTGTTTTGCAAGTCATTTTTGCTTTTTAAGTTTACTAAAAAAAAATTTATTTTCATGATTTTTTGCATGCAATATTCAATTAATTTTTTACTTTCATTCTTCTGCATGATTAAATAAATTGCAACATTATGTTATTTTAAATCAAAGTCACATGTAGGCTACACTATAATTTTTTCATGATAAATTATTTGCAAAACCTTCATTGCTCGTTTGCAATTTTAATATAATATCTCTTTTGTTTTAATCTTACATTATTCTACCTGAATTCAAAGGAGTTGAATTGTGTTAATCTAAGACTCATCAAACATAAAGTAATCTTAGGAAAGTATATGAAGCATAGTTTGACTCATCTTCTTCTGTCAGAATTTTACAATCTACTTGAAATACTTAAGCAATATGATAGGGAGATTAAAAGGAATGATTAAGTCATTAATAGGAAGATTAAAACTTGGGTGATGGTGGTGAGCCTGGTCATTCCATTAAAAGACGAAGAATTAGGCAACCAAGTAAATGAGGGTCAAATATAGGGCATTAGTCTTAGGCAGTGTGCAACGATGGTCGATGAGAATATTAGATGACAAACAGCAATATGCAACCAACTTAGGCCCCGTTTGGGGCGGCGTTAGGCCAGCAGCGCGGCCCGCTGCCATGAGTTTTCACTATTTGGGGCGGCAGTAGGCCAGTGGTTTTGGGTGGTTAGAATGTTATGTTTAAGTTTTTGTTGGTTAAAATGTTATAGTTGGTATGTAAAAATCCTTAATTATTATAATGTTATTGATTGTTGATGATTCATCTACTTCTTCATGCAATTTGCTAACATGCCATTATGTTAAGCATGATCATGGTGTCAATTGTACAAGCAAATAATTTCAATCATTATAAGATTGCAGCATGGATGCAAAGCTTATTTTCTCCTTTCACTCAAATACTTGATTATTTTATTTTTCTGTTCAGGTGAAATTCAACAGAATCTTTAAATGTTTTTTGTGATGCATAAACAAATTTTTTCTAGGATGGAATTTCATGCAGAAGAAGCTTTCAGGTCTCAAATGTTTCTTCAATGTATTCAGTTGTTCATCCAGCTGCTGCAAAAACTGCTACGAATTTTGCAGAATTTTGCTGTTCTAAACAACACAAGAAGCGTTTATATTTTTGCTGCCATCAATTTTACTTATGATATTTTAATTTTGTTTTTTTTTTAACTAGTTTTTGGTTCTGTAATTAAAAAAATGAGGTAAGCTGATGGATGAACCTCAAATTAATGAATTTATTATAAGATGAATACAGTATTTTGCAAATTTTACAACAATCAAATAATTATTTTTTTTATATTTAAAAAAAAATGAAAATCTGAAATAATATTTAGTTATATGTGAATTATGAACGGTTTAACTGTTCACATTTTCAACCGATTGCCAATTTCTATAAACTGAACCGGTTAAATTAAAGGCATCAGCATGAAACCTGAAGACAAATCTTATGGTCCCTTCTTTATCACATGCTGAGCCTTTTGGCCTTCTAAAAGTATAAAATTAGACAAATAAATAGATGAATAAAGTTTAATAGGAATTACCATGCAGCCCGAAAGACTTCTTTTGAGTTGTGAATTGACAAACAGAGCATTTCCTCATTTGAAATGCCCATTCTTCAACTGGTGAACCATGAATTATGTTCAAAATGAGCTTTTTATCAACTTTACTGCGAATGAGGCTTATGCATTTCACTAAAAATATCTTATGGATAAGATTAGAGAAAGAGTTCACGAAAATATTGAATTATGAAAGGGCTATATTGGAATCTAAAGGCCTTCGTTTGAGTTGATCTAAAACTGAAAGGCTATATTGGAATCTAAAGGGCTTCGTTTGAGTTGATTTAAAACTGAATACATGGGAAGTAATTTTAGTAGTAGTAGATCTAGTGGCAGAGTTGTAATTATTTAGATTTGGATATTAAGATTTGGAATAGACCTGCATAATTTTATTGATACGATGAGGGATATTTAAACTCAATTACAACAGACATAATAATGACAAGTAATAAAAACAGAATTAAATAATTAGGAAAAAATAAGATTTGGAATAGACCGACATAATTTCATTGATACGATGAGGGATATTTAAACCTAATTACAATAGACATAATAATGAAAAGTAATAAAAACAGAATTAAATAATTAGGAAAAAAAATAAAACAGAATAAAACACAAAATGAAATATATAATCAGGAAATAAAGTCAAATAATAAGTAATAATGACGTAGGGATGACCTTTATAATATAATACTCCCCCTCAAGTTGATTAATAGATGTCACTCAAGAGCGAGGCAAATTCTTGGTGAGGAAGTCCAATAGTTAGCCACTGGAGGGTACATATAGAACACAAATCTCCCTGAACTCGATCATTTCCTTAATGAAGTGTTTGTCGATCTCTACATGTTTGGTACGATCAAGCTGAACTGGGCTGGGAGCAATATTGATTGTAGTCTTATTATCACATAATAGCTGCAGCGGAATTTTTATTGATTTAGAAAAATCTTATGATAAGGTTCCAAGAGAAGTACTTTGGAGATTTTTAGGAAAAAAAATTGTTAATAATGCTTTTATATTGAAATAATTAAAGATATTGATACTAGAGTTGTTACTTGTGTTCAAACACAATGAGGATTGACCAATTTTTTTCCAATTTCAGCTAGATTACATCAAGGATTAGTTTTAAGCTCATATCTTTTTACTTTAGCTATGGATGTTCTAACTGAACATTTACAAGATGATGTACCTTTGTTGTATGATTTTCGATGATGATATCCTTCTTGTGGATAAGACTAGAGAGCGCGAAGAAAATTTTGATTTATGGAAGTCAACTTTAAATTCTAAAGGCTTTAGTTGGAGTAGATCTAAAACTAAATAACTTGAATGCAATTTTAGTAGTGATAGACCTAATGGAGGGATTGTAATAAATGGCAATCAAGTCATTAAAAGGAGTGAACATTTTCAATATCTAGGGTCTACTCTTCAATTATGGAGGTCTACATTGGAGTCTAAAGGCCTTCGTTTAAGTAGAACTAAAACTGAATACATGGAATGTAATTTTAGTAGTAATAGCTCTAGTGACAGAAGTGTGACTTTGGGTGATCAAATTATTAAAAGGTGTGAACGATTTAGATATCTTGGGTCCGTTGTCCAAAGCGATGGTGATATAGATGGGGTGTTAATAGTAGAATTCAAGTTGGTTGGTTGAAGTGGAGGAATGCTTCGGGCCTTTTGTGTGATAGAAAAGTACCGCTAAGACTGAAAGGAAAATTTTATAAGATGGTGGTGAGACCTGCAATGCTCTATGGCGCTGAAGGTTGGCCTTTAAAAGCGAAGCATAATAATAAGTTAAGTGTTGCCGAGATGAGAATGATTAGGTGGATGAGTGGCTTTACACTTAGAGACAAAATGCGGAATGAATATATTCGTGATAGGGTTGGTGTAGCTCCTGTGACAGACAAAATTAGAGAAAGTCGTCTTAGATGGTTTGGTCATATTAAACGTCGACCATTAGATGATCCGATTAGGAGAGTAGATGCTTTAAATTCGACTTGTGTTAAGAAAGGCAGAGGTAGACCTAGGAAGACTTGGGCTTATTGTATTAAAAATGATCTTAATTTACTAGAACTAAATGAAAATATGACACTAAATAGGACGCAATGGAGAAAAAGGATTCATGTAGCCGACCCCACGTAGTGGGATTAAGGCTTTGTTGTTGTTGTTGTTGTTGTTGTAGGGTCTACTCTTCAAATTTATGGTGATACAGATGGGGATGTTATTAGTAGAATTCAAGTTGGATAGTTAAGTGGAATAATGCATCAAGCCTATTGTGTGATAGAAAAGTACTATTTAGACAAACTTAAAGGAAAATTTTATAAGATGTTGGCGAGACCTACAATACTTTATGGTGCAGAATGTTGGCCTGTAAAAGAGCTGATAAATTATGTTAAGTGTTCTTGAGATGAGAATGCTCGGGAGGATGAGTGGTTTTACACATAGAGACTAAATACAAACGAGAGTAGCTCCAATGACAGACAAGATGAGAGAGAGACGTTATAGATGGTTTGGTTACATTAAATGTCAACCATCTGATGACCTTGTTAGGAGAATAGATGTTTTAAATTTAACTTAAATATTATATTAAGAAAGGTAGAGGTAGACCTAAAAAGATTTGGCCATTTTGTATAAAAAATGATCTTAATTTAATAGAATTAAATGAAAATTTGACACTCAATAGGACATGATGGAAAAAAAGGATTCACGTGGTTGACCACATTTAGTGTGACAAAGGCTTGTGTTGTTTTTTCATTTTTTTTTTAGTTTTTGAGGATTTAATCCGATGGCCTCCCAATAGGGATGTTGAGCCAATGTCAGCTGACCGGCCTAATGCCAGTAAAAATTTTTTGTTGAATATTTTTATTTTTTCATAAATTATAAATGAATTGTTTCAAGGAAATGATAATGCTTACCTTATAAACAAATCAAAAGATACTAAGATTTCAAGATTTTTGAAAGATGGTTAAAGCCATTTATGATGCATCAAAGGAAGGTTAGGCGGTCTTATTAAGCAATAATTATGAATAAATTTGGATTGTTAATGAGCTCTAAGATGAAAATAAAAACAAATGACTAGTAACATCAACATCAAGAGACAGCATACCTTACCCCATCTTCAGCATACTGTGGAGGAATCTGATTCATATACAAATTTTGAAGCTCATTTGTGCTTTCTATTAAAATATAATGTTCTATCTGAAAGCAGTCTTCATTTATCTCACAGCTGCTTTTTAGCCAACATATCTACAGCAATCCGTCACTGTACAAGCTCCAAACCTATGAAATGTTGCCAAAATAAAAGTTCATTAAATTAGATACCGAATTGATCAAAGGCATTTTCTTGAGAGAATTTTAAATTCTTGTTTTAATGGTGAGGATGAGGATATACAGTAACGAAAGGTTAAGATGATATTACAGAATACGAAAATAATTTCATTATCTCCATTGCATCAGCTGACAGAAAGTGAAGTCTGCTTGCTCAGAGTAGCTTGTACTTTTAGCTGAAATGAAGCTAGTTAAAAGGAAGAGCAATCAGAAGCCACAAGCCCACCTGCAATAACCATTGAGACAATGCTCAGCGAGTCAAAAACTAGTTCTGCAACAATTTAATCTTAGGGTTTGTTTGAGACCAATTTTTGCTTTAAACAAATTAAGATGTTTTAGGCACACTCAAAACTACTTTTATGTGCTTTGAATATTTTGAAAAATAACCATATCTTAGCAGCCGATTAGGATCATTTTTATATTTTGTTTTTCATTTTTAGTTTTTATTTTGTTTTGTTTCTCTTTGGATTTGAATTAAAACATTTTTGGTTGAGCTGGTTATTTTTAAAAACATTTGAATTAAAACATTTTTGGTTGACGTGGTTATTTTTAAAAACATTCAAATATTTTTTAGGTGTTCTGAGTGTTTTTAAAATAAGTTAATTTGTTTTTAAAACAAAAATAAAAACATACAAAAACCATATCAACCAAATATACTTTTAAAAATAAAAGAAAAAATAACAATAAATATAGAAAACAAAAATGATGCCAAATGTGCTCTTAATCAAACATGCCAGATATCATTTGTTCAAATCAAAACATAAATAAAACAAAATTAAAATAAAAAATATAAAAAGAGAGTGATCCCAAATGGCCTCTAAACAAATAGCAAAAAGCTGAGCAACTTCTAACTAAAACTAACATAAACAGGCAATTTCTGGAAAAAGATACCTGTAACCACTTTATCATTTTGGTTTCAGGGTATAATACCAACTAATGAAGCTCTTGACAAGGTTTTGCGTGTCAGTAAGCAGCAATAGAAGCAAAAAATATACATACGGTAAGATTTTATTATTATATAAAATAAAATTAAGAGAAACTGACAATATGATGTGCGCCAATTAATCAACAAATCAGACAAACAAAGAGATACAGTTATTGTAAATCAATCATTACAAAAAAGAAGAAATGAAAATTGACGAGGAACTGCCATGATAGCCTAGTTAGAAAGAGATTCCGAAAAATGCTTCAGCATTCCATTTTAAAGACAATGGGAAAGCACTAGTACCCTGATGTTGTTAGATGGTATTACACTCACTAAGAAATATAACAGAAATAAAGAAAACATTTATATGATAAGACGGTAGTAACAGAAGAATTATATACTCTGGAAAATCACAAAGCAGTTCAGGATATCAGAGAATGCAGGGCACACTAGAAACCTTTGAAATTCAGTTTTTGTAACGAAAATAAGGACTGAATAAGAAAATTTGACTGTGCTGATAAATGTGAGAAAATAAAAATCACTCACCATAAAATACATCATGCTGGGAGAGAAGGGACGCCACAATCTTCCTGCTAGGTACTAGTTACAGGAGTAAATCAGATTTGCACAATCACCCCTCATTTGTAGATTTCCTTGGTTTTTATGGCGTATGGGCTAAAAAAATTCACCTTAGCACAGAAGTGAATACTCTGGAAAATCACAAAGCAGTTCAGGATATCAGAGAATGCAGGGCACACTAGAAACCTTAAAAAAATTCACCTTAGCACTCACTAAGAAATATAACAGAAATAAAGAAAACATTTATATGATAAGACGGTAGTAACAGAAGAATTATATACTCTGGAAAATCACAAAGCAGTTCAGGATATCAGAGAATGCAGGGCACACTAGAAACCTTTGAAATTCAGTTTTTGTAACGAAAATAAGGACTGAATAAGAAAATTTGACTGTGCTGATAAATGTGAGAAAATAAAAATCACTCACCATAAAATACATCATGCTGGGAGAGAAGGGACGCCACAATCTTCCTGCTAGGTACTAGTTACAGGAGTAAATCAGATTTGCACAATCACCCCTCATTTGTAGATTTCCTTGGTTTTTATGGCGTATGGGCTAAAAAAATTCACCTTAGCACAGAAGTGATAGCTTGTCATAAATGGATCAGACTGCACAAATTTGAGCCCTTCCTATAAAATGATAAAGATATATAATATACCTTTGCGATTGTGTCTCTAACATAGATCGTATAAGTTTTCTACTTGTATTTATATGTATTTGCATGACTGAAACTACTGAGTTATTTCTTCAGATTTATACAACCTTTTGAGAAACTTCAACGCTTCTCTCCTCTTCCCTAATTTTGCAAAGGATCTACTGATTAAATGAAGAGTACTTTCAGAAGGAATAAAACCTTTATCTTCCATCTCCTTAAGCAATTTAGCAACCTCAAAACCATTGGATAGCTTTGCCCAAACTGTAATTAACATGTCATATGTTGAACAATTAGGGGAAATACCTCTCTTTTGCATTTCATTCCACAATTCAATAACTTGTTTAAACATTCCCATCTTCACAAACTCGCTCATTAGAACATTATATGTACCTACCGTAGGTATAAAGCCTTTCCTCACCATGTTCCAATATAGCCTTATAGCTTCCTTAACATAACTTTTCCTTGCATATCCAGATACAAGAATGGTATAAGTAACACAGTTTGGCTCAAATTCCTTCTTCTTCATCTCATTGATTATCATCTCCGATTCTGTAATCCTCCCAGCATTAGAAAGCCCGTCCAATAAACTATTGTAGGTAGTAATATTTGGGGATACCCCATCACGAAGCATCTGATAATATAAAGCGAGGGCTTTATCAAAATGGCCGCTTTTGCAATGTCCCTCGATGAAAGAGTTAAAGGTAATTGTATCTGCTTGTATCCCGCGTTCGAGCATTTCGTTCAGAACCTGCGTAGCTCTTCGTGTCATACCAAGAACGCAAAAGATATGCATGAGTGTATTATATATCAATATGCTAAGATCAAGCCCTGCATAGATCATCTGTTGGTGGAACTGCAATATTAAATCAGCTCTCTTCCATTTAGAACATGCTCGCAGCACTTTCTTGTGAGTTGATGCACTCGGGTGAAATCCGGCAAGTGCCATCTCGTTCAACAATTCCATTCCCTTCTCTACATCTCCTACCACACATAGCGACGGAATCAAAATTTCGTAAGTGATGATATTAGGCATAACTCCAAGACTCTTCATTTCGCTAAAAACTTTAAGTGCCTTATTGAGACTCCCCTTTCTGCAATACGCGCCTATCATAATGTTGTATGTAGCGTGATCTAGATTCAAACCCATGCTTTTCACTTGTGCGACAATGGATTTTGCTTCTTGAGACTTCCCGGCCAAGTAGAGACGGTTTATATAGCCGTTATAAACAACAACATCAAGGCCTAACTTTCTTTCCATCAATTCCAGTCCAATTTCCAGAGCAGCTGATTCATTCCCCACTTTAAAAAATCCATCCATCATAGAGGTGAAATTAACATGATCAGGCAACAGTCCCTTAACTATCATCTTTCCAAATACTCCTTCCGCCTCCTTCATCCTATTGTTTCTCCTCAATACATTAAACAAAACATCACACATGAAATGGTTGGCCTCCAGGCCTTCCTCTATCATCTCTCTACACAAATCAAGAGCCTCTTCATGTCTTCTCATCTTGGATAAGCCATTAATGAGTGTTGCATAAGTGACAGCATTTGGATGTATGTTTTCTTCTTTCATCTTCCTTAAAACACCAATCGCCTTATCCAGCATTCTCATTTTAACATAGCCATTGATGATAGAAGAGTTGGTAACCACATTTGCACCAATGGACTTCCTTCCCATTTCAATGAATGCCAGTTCTGCACCAATAATATCTCCAGTCTTGCAGCGCCCATCAATCAACACAGTGTAGGAGATATGATTGGGAAGAAGATAGCAGGACAAGATCATTCTAAACATGTCTTCAGCTTCATCAACCTTTCCAGCTTTGAAGAATCCATCCATGAAAGTATTGTATGAAATCAAATCCATTGAAATACCTCTAACAATCATCTCCCTGAATAGAATAGATAAGTCTGTCAGTTTTCCTGATTTGAATAATGAATCGGCTAAACTGGCGTACGAGACGTGGTTAGGAAAAATGCCGACCATCTCCATCTCCCTGAAAAGTTTATAGCCCTTGGAAAGTTCGCCATTTTTGCAGAGACCATTCAGGAGAGTCGTGTAAGCAACAATATCTGGTAAGATGCCCTTCCGAACCATTTCTTCAAACAAGAAGAATGATTCTTCCAGCCATCCATGTTTACAATATGAACTTATTAATGTAGTGAATGTAACAACATTCAACTCTGAATTCTGACCAATCTCATCCATCAGACTCTTTGCCAAATCAAACTCTTCAGTCTTACAGAATCCATGAATCAGAGAATTATAGGTAACAATGTCAGGTGAAACCTCTTCATCCTTCATAGTTTCCAACAGAGTAGCAGCCTCACTCACCCATCCCAGCTTGCAATACCCATCAATCAAAGTATTAAACCCAACGATATCCCTACCAAATCCTGCTCGAATAAACGTCTTCATCATCTGTTCAGCATCATCCACCAATCCTACTCGAAAAAATCCCTTAACGAGTATATTACAACCAATCGTGTCAAACCTGACACTCTTTTTAATCATCTCAGCCAAAAATGCGACCGCAGATTCCACCATTCCATGCTCGCAAAACCCCCAAATGACCGTATTATAGCTTACGGTATCAGTCTCAACTTCCCTAAGCAATTCTACCGCTCTTTCAATCAAACGCATTTTACACAGAGCATGAATCATCACATTGCTTGCAAAGACATCGGCTTTTTCATGGCAATTAAGCAGTTCCGAGTAGATGATTGGTACCTGGGAGAGAAAACCCGATGAATTGAACTTGAAGAGAAGGCGGTTCCATGAATTTATCGGCGGGTTCAGTCCGATGCTTCTCATGTTAGTAAATGTCTCCGCCGCTTGAGAGAAACGAGTGCATGTTAGATAGATTTCGATTAGAGAGGAGAAAAAGGAAGCATAGAGTCGGGATTTGGATGGAGGGATGGGGGGTTTAGGGTTTTGGAATGGTTCGAGGAGTTGGTTTGAGTGGTGGGTGGAGAAGGAGAGAGGAGAGAGAGGCGGGAGGGTGGGGAAGATTGAAGATTTGAGGAGTTTGATTCGTTTTGAACATTTCATGGTCTTCGAATTAAGGTCATAGGGTGGCGGGAGATGAATTGCGGTGACTGGAAGGTGTTCGACAAAATGCAAAGCTCGAAGATTAGGAAGGGAGGACTCATCAAGGAGAAGATGGACTAACACAGAACGACTAGAAGGTTTGGCAGTACGTGGGGACCGTGGGGTGCATTAACAATAAAAACAATTGAAAAAAGTAGGTATAGATAGGGCAGTTGGGTTTGGGTTGACTTGAATAGATTGATTTTGTAATTGAAAAAAGTAGGTATAGATAGGGCCGTGAATTATTCAATTTTGTGTTTGAGTTGGGTTTGGGTTGACTTGAATAGATTGATTTTGGCTCTGTTTGGCGCAGCTGCAGCTTCTCAGCTTTTCAGCTACTAGGAAGCTAACTATTTGTTTGGTACAGCTGTGTGAAACCAAATGTTTGTTTGGTGTGTCTCAAAATTTGCTTGTTATTTGTTATAATTGATTTTGAGCGAAGCCGGCTCGAAATTGAACCGAGCTCGATCCGGCTCGAATTTGAAACGAGTTTGTCAAATTAAGTTATTTGGATTTATTTCAGCAAATTGAAACTAAATGACTCAAATTGCGTTCTTTGGACTCAAATTGGCTCGTGACTTATTGTATTCAATTTTACTTCACCTTTTATAAATAATTTTTATAAATAAAAAAATACTACAAGCCGATCTCAAGTTAGTTCAAACCTATTCAGATATAGCTGAAAATCGGCTTAAAAAAATTCGAGCCACAATTTCAACTCATTTATTTCGATTTGATCTTGTTCCGAGTAAAAATTCGAATCGATCTCATTTATTTTGATTCGATCTCATTCAGAGTCAAAATTCGAACCGATTTTTTAGCGATTAATGATCTTTCAGTCCAAATTCACAGTGCAGTTCGTGGATGAGTTCTGAAAGGGAAGTCTGATATTACATGCCCTATGATGCTTTTATTTTTAAAATTTTCTTGTAAGTTATGTTATTTTTTTAAATATATTCAAAATATTATTTGAACATAGTCCACACCTTATTCAAATTTACTAATTTATATTTACTATTATGCTCTTATCATACGCATATAAAAACATTATATTGCACATTTTATAAGTATAAAGTGGGAGGTGTCACGAGACCAATTATTATGTAATTTAGAACAACGACATCAATGTCTTGAATATTTAAAGGTAATGACACATCATTTTATTATTGAATTTTGTGTTCATTAGAATATGAATGTGCTTCTGAAGATTAATGAAAAATTGATCTTAACTAATAATTATAAATTGGAAATAAACATGATGCTGCTTTATGAGAAAGATTTAACTTGAAATGATCTTCAAGAGCATATTTTTATGGAGTCCCAATCATCATCATTAACATACATTTCTCTTTTTTAAGTGACATAAATGTGATTAGATATGTCAAATCTGCAAATTGCCAAACAAAAAAATTGAACAGCAAGTTCATCATCATCATCATCATCATCATCATCATCATCATTTCTAAGACTAGTTATAGCCAGGCTTCTTTCCGAAAATGAATGCCATCGACCTCCACTTTTAAAAACAAGGGGCATTTACATACTTATCTCACAATTCCTATGTATTTATATATCTAACGCCTATACTTCTTTACATTTTCATATCAAATCAAGAGTACTTCAATTTTTAAGAAGTGGAATATAACTTTTCATGCACAAGTTGGTGTGTACAATTGAAAGTTTAGGGGTTATATATGTAAATACAAAAGCATTGAGCTCATTCCTTCCTAAACAAAAATTTAAATTTAAATTTAAAAATAAAAATCTTAGCAGTGATTGAATTTGTTAGTCAACTCAATCAAGATATCGAAAAAATTGAACCAAAATCAATGAACAAAATTGGCCAAAAACATTCCGAAATAAAACAAAATTTTCGAACTGAACTGAACCTACCTGACCATATTGAGCAAATTCAATGTTATTTGTTAATTAATTCAAAGCCTGATTATCAGCCCATCATTGTTCCAACTATTGGATTTGAACTTGAAAGCCAAACTCTCCGGTCTATGTTACTAGGTTTGGCATGGCATCAAATAAGTCTAGAACTAGAGTAAATCATCACAATAAAAACCCTACTAATGCTTGAATAACGCAGTTTACAACATGCTGCACAGGAAGCAGTGATTGAGCACTTTGCCCTTTATATTAAAAAATGGCCCTAAAACTGGCTCCAGATCGCATAATTTCATCAAAATTACCGCCAAAACATTAAATTTTCATTCTAAGAGAGATGCAAAGAGAAGGGGAACGAAGATTTACTCGATAGAAGCGCGTCAGGCTAGCGCACTTTCTCTCGACACGCCATAGAATTCAGGGTTCCGACCACCAAAGAAGAATAAGTGAACCACCAACGAAGAAAGGCCCTCGAACTCTCATTCATTGATGTTCAACAATTCTTTTAGTTCTTCCTTATTTGCTCCAAAATTTCCTAAATGCTTCTCATTTCTCGGAAATGCTTTTCACATTATCCAGAAGGGATTCTTCTGACAAACCTTTGATGCCATTTTCAGCTGGGTCCACACTTGGTTCTGGTAGCGACACCTGCTTTTCTCCCTCTTGCTCTTTTTCAATTTTTTCCTCCTTAACAACTGAAGAAAAAGGTTCTTTCAGTGAAATATCATAGCGCTTTGAGAGAGATGATGTCTCACTCCTCAATTCTTTTGTTAATTCTGCCAAGGTCTTCATTCCTACAATTTTTTTTTATTCACAAGAATCTGTGAGATATATATTGGTGGAAAATAAATGAACTTGAATTATGATAAATACGAGCTTTTGTATTTTGAAGAAAATGTTTTTCAACCTCATTAGATTGGATGCGGATGGATCTCCCAGAGGATAAAAATGTATAGCAGTGTAAAATGCTGTATGATGATTATGCATCCATGTACAAGGAAGATTTAAAGCTACAATGATATAGAAGTTGTTGAAGGCCTAACAACTAATGTTGTTGCGTGCGGTTTGCGAAAGACGTTAAAATCAAGGGAACTTTACGTGCATAGCACACAATCTTAAGTATTTACATATCTCGCACTAAATATTCATAATTACAAGCACATTAATTTAGTGTTTTAAACCTCTACACTAAAAAGTGTATTTCACTTTAAGAAAATGATGAGTGTTAATTTTTATGTGATATTAAAGATTTGAGTGCTGTGTTATGAAAGTTTAGGTGTGAGATATGTAAAAACTTAAGAATTGTGTGTCATGTATGTAAATGCCCTTAAAATCAATAGATGTTGAAGAATGGATGAAAGGATGCTCCAACAACAAGGATCATATTGCAGTCTTTTAAGTATTCAATATGCTAATGACAAACTTGTCTCTTATAACATGGTCAGGGTTCGTTTATACATTCGAAACATGAAAATCGTATTTTGCCCTCAACTTACATTTCTTCGCTTATTGCATACATTAATTACATCTCTCCACTATGAAGCACAAACGCTAGAAAAAATCATCGGTAACCTTGTTGGGCAATTGTTGGACACAAACACCACCTCTTAGGCATGCTGTAACAAACTGTTTTTCCAAAATTTAGGGTCGGAGGTCATCAGGATAAATCCAAACATGCCCAAACTCACATTTATGATAAATGTATTTTTTATGAACTATCTTAGAAAACTATATTTTTGTCGATGAGCATTAATGGTGATCATAATTTTAAGGCCAGTGTAGACTAGTTAAATGTACAGCAACATGTTCATTTTATTTAGACAGTTATATAATTATTTTATTTTTGCATTTCTTGTGGACAACATAATGCTGATATTGAGAAAATAATACCTAATGGTTAATGAACGTTGATGTGCTGTTGACAATTAGATATACTTAATAAAAATTAAGTATAACTGTAATTAATCAATATTTTTTGCTGGTTCATAAACTTTTAATGTGATATTTATGATATTAAACTTCATTATATGATACTTTTTGATAGAAAATATAACATTAGATGTTCGATTACACAATTTATATCACTAATTTATTAAAAAAAATACAATGTCCTTGGAGTGGCATTCCCTATCTTTTATGATTCATTGTTCCCCATGTTGTGTCCGCATCTCATGTTTATGCCTGTAATTCCTAGCATTTCTGCCAATTCAGCTATGAATATATGCAGAATGTAAATTTCTAGCAAAACTATTCTTGGTTAACTCCTGTTACTTCCATTTTGGCGTGGTGGATACCTTATATATTTACTGGAATTGAAAAATTAACGTCACCTTACCTATGCATGAAAAGGTGTATTTCACTTTTAAAAGTTAAAATAGCGGCACTTTTTATGTGATTAAAAAGATTTGGGTAATATAAATGTACCCCAAAAAAAAATTAGGTGTTAGATATGTAAATACATGAGAATTGGGTGGTTTGTAAGTAAATGCACCTTAATATAAAAAGATAAACTTAATGAGGATGAAAATAAAGAAAACTAAATCAACTAAATACAACGTGCCCTATAATTCACTAAGCCTTCAATATAACATATTTGAACTTTTTAATGAAATCAAATATAAAATAAATCTTCCTAATAAGTTTTTAGAATCATAATAAGGAATACTCTTCTTTGAATCTGCGAGTACTCAATGCCTGGTTAACTGAGCCACTAGAAAAGAGTAATCATAAGGAAGTTGATCAGTTAATGAGCTTCACAATCATGCATAAAAATCAACAATATCATTCTACTATGATCGACATGAACAAGTGGATTGACAACATATTCTAGAATATAGAAATAAATGCATTATGATAAACTCACGTATTTGAATTTCATGAGCAGCTTTGCTGTTTCTGAAGTTAGGGGTCCGGGAAACCTTACAAACACAAAAAACAGTTAGGCTTTTACGTGTGCATTCAAGGAAATGCATAGAAGCTTCTATTTTCTCCAAAACAATAAAGTGCACAACTGTGATCCAATTTTCTAATTTATAGAGAAAAAATTTCAATAAACATCATTCTTAGGACATAACAAATGGCACACCTTTTGCTTAAAAAATACCCAGCTAAAAGCCTAAAACTGAAGAAAAGTACCACAAAATATGTTTTTCTTTACAATCTGATCTTAAACATTACCTAGAATACAAGCTCTACATAATAAACTCTCCAAAGCAAAACGCTTGTGTTTTGGCACTGAGCCACTGATAATATTTTATATACATTCGAGTTGGAAATAAACAGAAATGACACAAGACCACCACATGATTATAGGAAAGAACTCTGAGAATCAATAGAAACAGTACAAAGAAAACAATGGAGAAAAAATTTCAAGGATTTGATATTGCTCTTATTTCACAAGAGGAAGGTATGTATGTATATATTCATTTACAACTTCTATTTTTCCATTGTTGGAGTTAAATTGATTACTTATATCAGGACAGTGAATACAATAGCACAATGCTAACATCAAATTTTTGTTTAGAGTGCAGTCATTAATAAAGATAATAATAATGGATCCAGAGATAAGTTTTTTTGAATCCGCAAACATCAAAATAAATTAGCACAGAAGGACAAAAGAATCTAAAGCTATTCTCAGGAAAAATAACACTATAATGTCTAGCAATTTCAAAGTTTCGTAATAAAAATATTTAAAATTTATATTTATGAAATGAGAATTAAACACACATTAAAGACTTTGAAAACAAAGATGTCCTTATCTAAGAAAATATGTCGAGTTGATATTAGTAGTGTGAGAGGTGAAGGAGCATGACATTTCATCTCACACGATAAGAATGCATAAACAATTTATTTTTTCTAGTATGCCACTATGTCCATTCGTCTTTACTAAAGTGAGATCATAAAAAACACACCGATCAATAAAGAAGAATTTATAGTTATGATCTTTGATAAATTTATCAATTAAAAAAAGGTTAATTGCAATGCATGAAATATGCAATACCTTACCAAGGATTATATTAGGAAAAATTGAGACATCTCCCTGCCTTGCAATAATTATTAAATTATTATCTATAACTTTTATTTTCTATTGTTGGAACAGGATTTATCAATTAAAAATATATTGATAAGACTTGTCATGTGACTAGTGGCTCATAAATCTAAAATCTAATAAGAGAGAGAACTATTTGAGGCACTAAAAATAAATAAATTAGAAATCAGTTATACTGAGCAAGCGAGTAATATCTTGATGATTTTTTCAAGGAATTGAGAGAACTTATTATTCTGTGAAATTCTACTGAGTTGACTCTTTTCAATTCTACTAGGCAGGTAGATCTCTTTTTTTTTTTTTACCTTTATTTCTTCCATAGTTTAGAGGCCTTCCACGGTGCTTCCAGCATTTATTTTTTGATTTTTTTAAAATAGTTGCACCAGAAATTGCATTTGAAGAAATTTGTCAATTTTTTGGAGAAAACTTTGTAATAAAAAGTCCCTCACCTTCAAATGTAAAAGTTATAATGACAAATATACTGAGTGTCAAATAATTGATCATCACCATCCTTCTATCTTCTTCAATCCATATTAGAAAAATCACTTCATTCAGAGAAGATTTTTTTTAAAAATTTTCTCTATTTAAAATTTAAATCCAAATTCATTGTTGAGTCCAACCAAGTACTCTGAGATTCTCTATCGCTCTAAAAATTATTTGAAGAACACTATCGCCTCACAGCATAATATTTTCGTCCAACACCAACAAACAAATATTTTTGCATCCAAGTATTCAATGAAAAAAATATATTTATTTTACTTGGTAGTTGTGAGCTTTATTTTGAATTAGAAAACGAGTGTGGCATCTTTCACATTAAAGTATGTTTGTTCAACTATATCATAAATCATTTTTACAGTAGAGAGGCACAAAAATAACCCATTAATCAGAGGTAGCATTGTATACTACAACCATATCATAATTATGGAATCAAGTTCTTCCAAAAAATATTAAATTTGGGTCTTTAGGACGTGAATTAGATTCAAAAAGTGCTAGGCCGTTCCCTTTGCTTTATAGATATATTATAGATATAAACATTTATAGATATAGAAACATTGTTCTGGCTGAAACATTTCTCCCATGCTAGGCCGTTCCCTCATAGAAACATTTATAGATATATATTGTTCTAGCTGAAACATTTCTCCCATGCTAGCTTTGGCAATTCAAGCATTTATCAACCATATGACAAATAAAATCACAAGCAGTAATCAAGCTTAAGGAGCACTAGAGAAATTTGAACAATTGTTTTACACTTTAGAAAAAAGGAAGACAGGCCAAATTATTTATATTCAAAAATACACGAGCTCAATAAGAATATATATTATGCTTTTGTGTCATGTTATAGTTGATGTCATCCAGCTTATTGCCCTTTACTGGATCAAGTAAAACACTCAAAGAAACTATCATTATCATAATTATTGGCATATACATAAAAACAAATATTTATTAATTTCACAAAAATCTAACATTCTTGTTCATTAAGATAAAAATCTGATAAACTCGCAATCATAAACGAATTATATAACTCTAAATAATCAAGAAATACACAAAATAATCAATTTTAAAATCTATGGGTTGCACCATAAAAAAATTGAGCACTCCATTGAAAAAATAAATAAAACTTTAAAAAAATGCATAAAAAATTTTCAAAACAATCATATATTTATTTATTTCGATAAATGAATTACCAATAAAAAAAATTCAATTTTCTTTGTGATTATTAGTTTAATCATTATAATAAAAAGTAAAATGGTGACCAAATATTAATTTGAAACAAAATATTGTAATCAATAAATGTGTTTAGTTTATTTGGATAAACTAATTACCAACTAATTCTCTCATTTAAATTATAAAAAAAATCAATTATTTAAAAAACTATTTTCAAAATTACAAATAGTAAAGTTATCATCTAGTTAAAATTTTATGATAAATCAAATCTGATGTGTCTACAAATTATTTAATTTTTTTTATAATATGAAAGTCTTTTGTTAATCAGTTGACAAATAATAAAAATGTGTTTTTAATAATCCAAAACAATGAAGCAAAGGTAATAACCATATTGATGTAAACAATAAATAATCTTTTGTGCTAGTCAAAATAATTGGTATAGAGTATTATTAATATAGTGTGAAATAGAACCATCCTTACAAGATGAACATTGATTGTATATCTTTCCTATCCTCTCTTGCATCGTTCTCTCAACCACCACCCATCCCTTGATAGCATGAGCCAACGTTGCTTACCTTTTATATTGCTCATTGTACTATACACCACATTGAGTTATTGCTATAGTCGCATCGCAAATACCAGATAATGTGGTATCCGCAACATGCCATCAACATACGCACTAGCTGTGTGTGTCATCATAACACGTGTGCTACCTTTGCCAGCTTCACTTTGGCATTTGACATGTGTTATCCCCCAACTACCATTGAAGAGTTGTTGTGGAATGATCTTCAATTGCGTCAAGACATCACACTTGCTACAATTAGGTTTGCTAATGCTCCACCTTTCACGAGTTGTGAGAATATGTCATGTCGCCGATGGAAACTTAGTAAGCAATTTAGAAACTTAAAAGACTTATTTTCGTAGCGATGTTGATTGTAGCTTGCAAGCATTGTTCTGGCACAAATGGAGATCCTCATTTCTTTGGTGGCATGTTGCTGCTAGAGTCAATTGGACAAATCCATGTTCTAAACTCTTAAAGAGTTATAGATCGCAGCCTAATAGAGGAGAACCAAGTTTATAGCAATTTCTATGTATTTTTCATCTAAAAAGAAACCTTCTTAATACATAACGAATGTGGATCCTAAGAATGTGAACAAAAAATGGGATTAAATAGTTAATTCATATCAATGTGAATGAAATACAACTTTAATTTATATTTAAATACAAAAAAACTAAAAATGAATACTCGTCCAAGTAAATGACCAACATTATATCAATTTAAATATCAGTACTCAAATATATATACCCAACATCTTCCTTGATATGGTTTCAATTATTGCAAAGGTTATTTTATGGTTTCCATTAAAGTTGTATATAATAGTAAATGCCAGCATCCATAAATATTTGAATTTTAAATGATAAGCATCAAACCTAATAAGAAACCTACAGCCTACCAATGTCATTAATGCAAACCTTGAAATTGACATAAAATCTCTTTATGAATGTGTAATATATGGTCTCCAAGGCAGTACCACCTTGATGAGTTATTCTTTTAATAAATGTTGACTATTAGAGATTTGCCCATCCTTAATTTCAAATATTGCCCACTTCTCCCTAAAAAATGCTCAACTTAACTTTTGCTTTAATTTTTTTTATTTTAAATTTTTTACATTTTTCTGCATTTATATTTTTCAATTATAAATTTAATGGTATTATTCAGCTACTTGTTTGTGTTCTTTCTCTAAAAATATTAATTAAATATATAATAATAATTATTATTATCATCATTTACTTATTATATTATTTACTTTTTAAACTTTTGCCCACCCTTAAAAAAGGAGTTGGTTCCGCCCCTACCAAGATTCATTTTAATCAATTCATTGTTATAGGGACCCATTGATAATTCACTATCAAATTCAACAATGTTCCCGAGAACCTTCTCTCTCAAACTTCATAACTTCGGCAAAATGATAAACCATAATTGCTCCTTTAGGGAAGTGATAATTCATAACTTATCCTCCTCTTGCTTTTGAGAAGAGAAGGATATCATACCACTAAAAAGCTCCAGCCACAAAACCCTGACTGCTTAATTTGGAAGAAGTGTAATGTGAAAGAGATGGAAACCAACTAGCCACTTAGAGGAGATGAAATGAAGGGTTTGTGGACTCCATATAGGATACACATCAATGCAGCCAGCAGCGGGATTTTAAGAAATGGGTTTGAGGATTTCTTAAAAATACGACGTGTTGTTTGGAGTGTTTTTGTGTGGAAGTTCCAACTCCATAGGAGCCAAAGCACAGGGGTTTACTGGTATCCTATTTTAGGTAGGATTGAAAGAAGATTTAGGTTACATCCTGTCAAACAGAATTTCTGAGTCTTTAAGTCAAACTGTTTTGATAAATCCTGCATCACCCCATTATTGATCAAATCCATTAGTTTTAGATCATATCATCGATAGGATTTGACAGATGTAAGAATTTCTCCCTCATAAACTTTCAATCATGAAATAAATAGTCAGACAATTTATCAAAAATTAATAAGAATAAAAAGTTCTCGGGCTGTATAATTTTTAGTTTTTAATACTCTCGAGGTTTACTAAATCCTACTGGTAGCCAAAGAGCTCCCTAACAAGCGAGAAGATGATGCATCCGTAAATTCCTTCTAATATATCCTACTTTACATTCCCATTTCTAATATCGATCTTATCACTAGCCAAACTCCATGATCGGCTTGCTCAACTTCATGAACCTTGAATCTGTATCAATCCCATTTTCATCTCACAAAATCCTAAATCCATGAGCTATTAAAACTCCAACCACCAATTCCAGCAGGTCCCCTCTCACTCTATACCGACACGGCACAAGGCACCACTATGCACCCTAATAAACCTCGAATCCAGAACTCAACAGGATGGACTAGCCCACGAAAATAAAAACGAAAACCAATGAAGAACGAACGGATCACTCCAATATTTCTAAAATGGTTGATAGAGAAAACAAATATCACCTCAACGAAAAAGGGTCGTAGCTCTTTGGCAATACTGCAGATCTTGAAATACTTAGAGCCACGGAATCCGTCGTGATCTAACTTCCTCTTCTTTCCATCTTGTTCTGCCGTGACGACGACGGCGGCGGCCGCGGCATTTGCGGGTTTAGAACGGGGAACTTCCTGAGCTTGTTGCGGGGTACTGGGTGGAGCTTCCATTTCACGACCCTGAAGCTTGAAGCACAATTATGCATTTTATGCAAAATGTTATGTAACCAATATAACCCTAAATTGGTAAGAATAAAACTTAATTTTGTTGCACCTTTTTATTGCGTAGGATATGGATCATATTAGTAGTAAAAATTTAGATTTTGCTTAGTTTATTTGATTGAGTGTCGCAGTTCCTCTAAAGTCTCTTTTAAAGTTGAGTGGATTGAATAGAGGAAAAATTATTACGTCTGTCGGACGGACACAGACGACAGACCTAATAATCATTCGAAATAGAGAAAGCGGTCTGAGATATATAAAAGTGAGGAAAATCATCCTCCGTATGAATGAGCTTTGGAAAATCATCCTAAAGGCTGCATTCCTAAAGTGCTTAGTTATGAGCATGCTTAAATTTGAAGTTTGTAATAAAATTATAACTATTATAAGGCACTTTAATGTTTAAGACTTTTGCTACACCCTACTTATCGTAAATGAAAAATGTCTTAGATTGACTAAATTATACTTGGATATTAGTTTATATTTAAGGATTGAGACCGTATTAACAAATGGTGGTTGGGCGATTGTTGAGGATATGACAAATAATAAGTAACAACATACTATGAACAAAATGCAACAATTGACATTGAAGTCATCCAACATAGGAGGTTAATGTCTTGTAGGGTGAGCAATATAAGTTTGCACACTACTTGTTCTTTTACATTTGACAAAATTAGAATTCATTAAAATAAACATTTGAGGTATTTCTATGAGAAATGCCTTGCATTTATGACTACTTGGTTTGTTGAAATGGAAATGTAATGTAAATGGAGTTCAGTGTGAATATAATGTAGTATATTTTGAATACTTAAGAGTCATTTAGTGAGGTATAAACTCAGTACATAAATTTATATTTTTTATTTGTTTTGAAGAAAAATTAAATCAATATGAAATATGCTCGTAGGCCACTGCGACCAACAATGACGGTTGGCTGATTTTGGTGGTTATGGTGGATGGATGCAAGGAGTGGGCGACACATGTTGGAAGGTGACGAGCAGGCGTCTAGAGCAGTGACAATTTTTTTGTGGCAATTGACGCAAGCACCCCATGGTGGCAGGCAGCCAGACAACTGGAGTGAAACAATATTCATAAACCCGATATCTGAGTGCATTTGCATATCTTCATTGGACCTAAAGTCTTTACAATTCCACACTTACCATTTCAATTTAACAAGCAGACTAGGCTCTTTAATATCCCTGACTCTGTTAAAAAATATTTAAGGAATATTAAAAAGTATTATTAATGTATGTCTGACGGTTCGTGATGATAGATTAATGAGTTAGCATCTTAGCGTTGAACAAAAATCTGACAAACACTGAAATAAATAAAGAAAAATAAGCAAGAGAAGACACCTCAAATTTTTACATGAAAAACTAAGAAAAATGGGGAAAAATCATGTTGTTTGACCTAATTGAAATAAATCACTATGAATAGTGAGCACACATGTATACTATTCTCTTGCATTAATGAAGATGGACTTACAAAAAACAATCAATGTTAATGTACATCGTAATCTTGTTGCAATAAATGTAGTATCCGGTGATGGCAGGCTGAAAGTGTTGTAGTCGGGTGCTATGGAGGTTGTAGTCTACCAGCTTGTCACATGGAAACACGGCTGAAAGTCATTGTAGTAGTTGACTTTGTGGACCGTATATGGTTTCTTTATGAGAGTCAGTTGGTCACATTGATCATAGTAGGATAGGGCATAGTGGTGATTGTGATGACCTTTGCAAGCCGCAAGGGACAAAGTCAGGAGCAACACAAGTTGTAAATCACGTAGGGTGTAGTTGGCCATATATATTGTAACGGCGTTGTAGTTGGTCATATATATTGTAACGGTGAGTTGTGATAACGTCCATAGGTCGCAGTGGCTAAAGCCGGGAGTTTCACGAGTTGTGGACCGCGTAGGCCGTAGTGGCAAGTCGTGGCATCTTCATAGGCTGCGGGCTAGAGTTGATGAGACATTATCAAACCGCACGATTTGACTTGGATTAAAGAAATTTTAAAATTGTTGGGTCCATTGTAAGTTTGCTAAAATATGAATTTAGGATGATTTTTCATCGAAATCGGAACATTTCTTTCTAAAAAAGTTATCTTGAGATCTGTGTTATGTTTGGCGGCGTATTAACTATTAAATATATATATTCAAAGTAGTTATGAATCAAATTTAAGATTTATTTTGTTTTGCAGAGTTAAATTTATAATTAATTAAGGAATTTGATTGTTTAAAATATATTATATTTATGGGGTATGTATTCGCAAACCAGCAGAAAAAAATATTGAAATTTTAATCAACAGCATCACTATACTCTTCAAATTTTCCGGCCGACAGCAATTTTCGCAGTAAAAATGAATATTATAAAACAACAACGGAAATCATCAATAAATAAATAATATGCCGCCATAATCTAGCAATGCGCAACTCTCAGCTTCAACCCTTTTCCCTGTAATTCCGCAAGAAGAATCAAGAAACTCCGAGCAATTTCTCTCATTAATGGCCGGGGAAACGAGAAGGGAGCGCTTCGTCCGGCGAACGACGATGGTGGCAGCCGCCACGGCCGCCTATTTTCTCTTCGTCTCCGACTACGGTTCTCAGGATGGCACCATGGACCCCGTAAAGTCGCTTTCTATCTCGCTTCATGAAACCCTAATCCTTGATTTTTTTTTTTTACTTCCTAGCTTCAACAAGTAAGTGGATCA